TGACACACAAGCAATTCAGAAACATGTTGTTAATTTCTAAATGTTTGGAGATTTTCTTGTTATTTTTCTGTTATTGACTTTCAGTTTCAGTTGAATGTGGCCAGAGAATATACTCTGTATGATCTGATTCCTTTAATTTTGCTAAGGTTTGTTTTATGACCTAAGAAATAGCCGGTCATAGTGGTCGCCCCAGGTGGATGTGAAGAGCTGTGCACAGAGTCCCTGCAAACACTGGCGAGGCCCTGTCTGGCAACAATGACATTCAGTTAGTTCCGCATCTTAGCTTCTTCTCAGTCCAGCTAGCTGTGGAGAGTGCTGGCAGGCATCCTGGGCACAGGTGTGGATCTGCCCATGTCACCACTCAGCTGTTTTCACTCTGTGTTTGGAGCTTCTGGCACCTGACCCACCGTGGCAGGACAGTTACAGCAGCACCCACCTCGGCTGAGCAGGACGCCAGCTGGCTCTAGCCCTGTCACATGTGCTCAGGTGGGGACCACGCTTGCAGGTGGAGACCATGTACTGCTGTGTCCTTCTGTGGGCAGGGGGAAGGGGCACATCCTTTCCTGGCACACAGCCAGTCAGGCAGACACAATCACAAAATCTCCTTTATGTCCGGCTTTTCTTAGAGACCTCTCTGTGTCTGGCTGGCTCTGCATAGGCAGTCTTGAGGATTCCTCCCGGACACATGAATGGGGTCCACAGGCAGGCCACCTTCCTCTCTCTGCTGTATCTGTCCAGGTCTGCACATGGAGGGGGAGACCTGGGAGGAAAAGGGCTGCTCACTGACTAATACGATGTGGAGGACCTCTTCTAAAACCACTTCACCTAGCCACATCTCACACTGGGACCCCATGTCTCTGCGGAGTACTAGAGGCTCCTCATCTTGAGAGAAAGCAGAGGGCTCTTGCGCAGGGGATAAGTCCTCAGACAAAGCAGGGCAAGGTTACCCACTTGGGGCTGGGGTGAAGGTCTCACTGTGATGCTGAGTGTCCAGTGCTGGCCCGACTCAACTCCAGGAGCTGGTGGCACAGGCTTATACTACCAGGCCTGTAGTATCCAAAAGTGCACCAGGCCCAGAGAAGAGGACAGTAACCTTGAGGGTTCCCTAGGAAGTGGCCCAGCGGGAACCCTAGTGAAGTCACAGTAACAAATCAGGCAATGCACTTCCAAACAGCTGCTCAGGGGCCCAATCCTAGTGTGCACTTCCAGCCAACAGGGCACTCTGTCCCCACTTCATGAGGGCACAAGGTAGACGTCAGAGTGCCCCGCTGTCTTCCAAGGTAGACCAGCATCTCAAGTGTCCCCAGAGCCTAGGCACGCTTATGAGGGCTGGGGCCTGGCCAGCACATCCATGGGACCCAGCAGGCAGTGGCATGGCTGGGAAGAAGTAGGCTCCAAAGTGTGACTAACAGGCATTGGCACAGACATGTGAGCCACTGGAATTACTGAAAGTCTATCCAGTTGCTAAATCCATAGACAACATTTAGGATTTGCCAGAGCTGCTATTTGACAGCAGAAAATAACGAACTCAGATTTGTTCCAGCTGAAAGGACTTCAGCTGCTGCCACTTAAATTTGCACCAAGGCTTCCACTCTTCCATGCTGGAAGGATGCTGTGATGTGCTGGATAGACACAGCTTACACACAACAACACATGGCTGTTCATCCTGCCATGTGCAGCAAGTGCATCTAGGTAAGTGTGCACTGTGCGAGCCACCTTCATCTGCCCAGCACCACCACCAGCTCCTCTGCGGCAAACTATGGTCCTGGATGAGGACCCTTTGGAGTTTCTGAGACAACTGCTTCAGAAACCACTCTGCAGTAGGGACCCGCAAGAAACACGTTTCACACTCACTGGGAAGGGGTGAGAGGAGGACCAGCCCTTCACAGACAGCAGCCTTTTTAGCTCCCCGGCTCTTCCATGGCTGCAGAGAAAGACAACCCCAAGGCCCCAACAAGGCCAGCATCCCATGTAGGATGGGAAGCTGAAGCAGCTATCTCTGGATTCAGGGCCTTTTTAGTGGGGTCTCCAGCTGGCCAGAGCCCCTCTCTGACCACTCCCAAGCCAGAAGGGCAGCCTCACATGATCACAGAATGGTGGCCTAGGAACACACATGCTGACTCCTTGTGCCTAGTCAAGAGAACAGCAATCAACAAATACTAGCATTTTGACCTGATGCACTGAACCTACCCTGTGACATGGTGGGAAACTTAGGCATGTGACATAAACTACACACAATTTGTGTGTGTCTGCCATGAGTGTACAATGTTGAGGAGGTGTGGGCAGATGGGACCCAGCCGGGCAGTGCTGGGAGGGGCAGAAACCACCCCTGCAATGGGCAGGGAGCCCTGGACACTGGCTGTCTATTCAAGAGAGACCATGAGAGTCACATGGAGAGGAAAGGTACAGGCACACCCTGGCCAGGCAGCAGCTCAAATGCACATTGATCCGGCCTGAGCTTCTGCTGCCCCAGGGAGCATGGGAGTGAGCACAGGAAACACAGCCTGTTTTCCACCATGCATCTGTCCAGAGCAAGTCCTGGTATGCAGGCCCTACTCACCCAATGTCCCTGTCACACACTCCAAGCCCACAGTAATATGGGATGGTGGTATCTGTGAAGGCCCACACCACCTCATGTCTCCAGCTGGAGGACAAAGTGCTGGCAGAGCTGGGGTGGCTCCTGCATCTCGGCAGAGCCTCTGGCATATACCGATCACATTCCGGTAGTAGCCACAAAGACCTGTCCCTCCACAGCTGAGTGTGTTGAGGCTCTGCTCTTGGCAGGACAGACACTGGGGGTAAGGCCCTTTCACAGTCTTCAAAATGAATGAATCAGAAGTGTGTCATCCTGCCCAAATCCCACACATGCCAGATCACACTCCCAATGCCACAGAACGGAGGGTATAGGAACTGAGAGGCCTGGGAGAGAAGTGAATCCAAGAGGAGCACTGGGACCTGGGGTGAAATGTCCCCCTCTGCAGCTTCAGCTGACGACATGCCCGCAACACATTTAACATACCACTCTTCCACCCGCCAGTGACCCAGCCCTCTACTCCACCACCTGCCTTGTGGGTGGTACTTCCCAGCCCTGTTCCTCGTGCAGCAGACATAGGCCGAAGTATGGCTGCCCTTGCCATCCTTGGTCACATGCTCTGAACCTGCCCAGAGTCCCTTCCCTTCCGCATCTCTACAGCTTGCTCAACCATTTCCTGCCCTGAACCCAGCCCGCCCCTCCAAAGGATAAGGGTCTTTATTACAGACGGCGGCTCCATGAGTCAGCGGGAACGTGTGAGGTGTGTTCCACTCTCTGCCCAGGAATAGCCCTTGAGCTTGGAAGTGTCTGCCCAGCACTTGGCTGGGGGACAGTGGCCCGCCCTTGCCAAGTTCCCTGCCCAGGCCTGGCGTCCCCTCATGCTTGATGCAACACATCCATTTGTGTTGCTCCTCTATTTTAAAACTCCTGATGGCTTCCCATGTAGTGGGATAAATGCCAAATCCCCACTGAGCCAGCCTTGGCCTCCAGCTCCCTGCTGTTGCAGCAGCCTCTCCTGCTATACCTGCTGGCTAACCCATGGTGGCGTGGAGGTGCATGTTCAGGGCGATCCTTGCCCCAGACACTGGTCCTACAGTGCCACTGTGCTTCTCTCAGTCACAGCTCCCTGTGAATGATACCAACTCCCAAGTCCCCATTAAACAGTAAAACTGACGATGACAGAGCGTATGTCTCTGCTCAACGTCCCATCACTCCAGCATGGAGCCTGACAGTGTCCACGGCACGTGGGTCAGAATGAACACGTGATGGGACCAATATAAACAATCCGAAACCCCCTGTATCCCTGAAGAGCTATTTATGAGGTGCTATGTATCAGAAACACCTTGGAAATAAGGGGGAGACCTCAGCTCTGGAAGGGACCATAGCTGCTGTTCATCCAGCATCTCTGCTCCAGCTGGAGTGGAGGCACCATACGACTTTTCTTGGTTTTACTCTCAGCAACCCTACACAGCAGAGGTTCTCCAGCTGTGTTTCTCTTAGAAATGGAGCCCAGGAAGGGACAGACCCAGCTGAGGCTGTTTCACCAACATGCCCAGGATTGCCCTGTTCTGCTAGGAACTCAGCCACCTCTTCCAGGGAAGGCTGCTCCCACAGTCCATGCCACCTCACCAATGGGTCACTAAGCACCTACTGGGGCTGCACAGGTCTCCAGACCCATTTCCTCTCACCCACCAGAAGGAGCTCTACCACGGGAAGGCCAGGATGTCCAGCGCCTGGCCCACGGCAAATGATCAAGGGGAGGGGCAGGTAGACACTCTGCCATACTCACTCTTCATCGTAAGCTGCCCCTCCCACCAGTGATGCCCAGATGCTGGCAATGCCCCCATGGCCACTTCATTCAGAAATTGCAACTGCAGGGCCAACATGGCCCGAAGACTTAGAAGGGGCTGCTCAGAGCCCAGACTGCAGGATGTCTTCCTTAAGGACCTTGATTTGGCTATGGAGAAAAGGGAAACAAGAAGCTCTGGGAAGAACTACAGCTCACAGCATCTTCAACTCTTCTTGAAATGAGGACTGAGGGTCCCAGAAGATACTGTGTGACACATGTCTGGTCCAGCTGCTGCGTCCATGACTCATTCTCTGAAATATGTTAGTCTGTGTCCCTCAATACACCACTGCCTGTGGTCCTTATGCTGCTCCTGGAGCTGGCACACAGGCAATGGGCTGGTTCACCCCACTGGCAGCAGAGATGGCCCCCTAGATTCCCCAACAGAAGCACCTGATTGCTCCTGAGCGTGGGGCTAAGGGCCTGGCTATCAGTGCTGGCCATGGAAGAGACACTAGAAGGACCCCACACAACAGAGACCAGTCTCTGCAGAGAGGAACCAAAGTGTAATGAGACAGAGACACAGATGTTTCCAGAAGGAGCAGAGGCAGGGGATCATGCAGGCTCCAGCTGCGGAGGTACGGCACACAGGCAGCTGTCAGCCCCAAGCAAGGGACCTACCTGAGCGTGTCTACCTCCTCTCTGCAGAATGGGAAGCTTGGCTCGGCAGAGTTTGGCTGAGACTTCAGTATTTTCAGCTCCATCTCCAGCTGCGAGAAAACAGCAAATGTTCAGCAGTGTGGGGCTGCACAGGACTGCTGAGTGCCCATGGCCCCATGTGTCCTGATGACAGGACCACTACCTCGAGCTGGGCACCTGGGGCAGAGGGACTTTTCCTGGGAACCCCAGGACCAGAAGCCGCTGGGCCATAGCACTAAGTTGTACAAATACAGTCCTTTCTCCTCCTCACCACTTCTGCCTGCAGATTAGCCACAGAGACACAAAGCCATTTTCAGAGTGCTGAGGGGAAAATACCAAAATCTCTGGGGCAAAGAGGGACAACGCAGCTGGAAAGAATGTTCTAAATTTACCATGGCTTTGACTGAGCAATCGTAGTATTTTATTTATTTTGCTTCTTCAGATTCCTCTGTAGAATGGCCTGAGCCACCGGCCTGACCGGGAAGGTGGACAGCAGCTGCTCTGGCACACCTGGGAGCCAGACAGACACAGGCTGCAGAGAGAGCAGGGCACTGGAGCAAGCATAGCCAAGCAGGCCACTGGCCAGGGGCTACCTGGGTGCCAGCAGATACTCGGCCAGGGCCAACCCAGGCTCCTGGGTGTCCACAGGGCCCTCCCTCCAACCAGATGCAGACTAGCTAAGAACCAGTGACCCCAAGGCCAGAGACCTGGAAGGACCACTGAAGTTTCACCAGGAACTACAGCTCAGTGTCACAGCCCCAGGCCAGGCTCTGGCACCTCCTAGGCCAGCCCTCAGGTGCCACTACCCTTGTAACTTCCATGCCAGATGCAGGCCTTTGACCTTGGACTTTCTCGGCTCCAGAACTGTAAGCCAAAAAACTTTCTGTTCATTAGAAATCACCCAGTCTCAGGTACTGTTAGAGCAGCATGGAACAGAACAGAATGGTCTATTTTAAGGTGCTGCTGGTTTTTATTCCTAGTACACTGGCTCTGATCATCCCCAGCACGGTTCTAGTGTGTGTTGTGTGCACATGTACGCAGACTTATGCAGTCTCTGCAGTCACTGGTGTAAACACAACACTCTCCCCTCAGGGTCTCCCTCTGTCCTCTATACTCTGAACCATTCCTAGGCGCACAGAGGCACCTCCATCCCGACAGCCCACAGGATTCCCAGAAGTGGGCTCTGCTTGATGCACTCTGGCTGCTTTCTGAGGGAAGAGGGGCACAGCAGCAATGACTGCTTTGTGACAACTTCACACTGCCCCAGTGGCCTGTGTAGAATTTCTATCTCTTTTGGAGTCAGCACCGATGAACAACTTTCTTAGAAAATACAATCTATATTTTTTTCTCACTGAGTTTATTGGCACACTTTAGGTATACAGTACGCTTACACTCATCATTGCGATCTTGTACCTTTACATGACAGGTCTTGGTTCTCATTTTGTCCCTTTATCCCTGCCCTCCCTTTATCCCCTCCTCCCTTCCCTATTTACAAATACTTTATTTCCATTTTTTAATTTTCTCATGTTTTTTTTCTTTTCCCTTATTACCTTTCCCCTACCCTTCCCATTTCCCCTACACCTTTAGCCCTTTTCTTCCTATTTCACATTGTCAATTATATAATTAGGATCTTATGTACCATTATAGTTTTTCATACCAGAGAAACTATGCGGTATTTATACATGTGTGGTTTATTTATTTCACTTAGGATGCTGGCATTTATTTAAAGGGTGATGTGATATAATAATTCATAATTCTTTTTTATAGAAAAAGTGGAAACAATATTCTTTTAAGATTCATTTTTGGTCATTTACCTTACTCTGGGGGTACAAGACACACAGCACGAGTACACAGGAGGGCCAGGGTGGCCGTGGCTAGCCACACACACAGTCTTTTGCCTTCAGTGGCTCTTGGGCATGCCCACTTTAGCCACAATGCCAAGGTAATTAATCCTACTTATTTTGGGTGGTGATGCTATCTACTAATTTTTTACTATAATTGTGAATAATTCATTGTTTTATTGGCTTCATAAAACAAGAGCCATGTAGACTCATTTATTATTTCTACCTCTCCCCGCCGCCCCCGTTAGCCTCTGTTTGATCTTTACACAGTCCTAAGTCTTGTCTTTCTGGGGCTTATTTTACTTGGTCTCTCACTCTTGTTGCAGGAGGTAAGTCCTTGTATTGTTCCACAGTATTTCAACCATGAATTTAAATGTTTCCACTGGCTCTGATGAGTGCTCTCACCACAACTGTTTTCCAGATTTTGTGTACTTTTGATATGCCATTTCTTTCTTCCAACCAAAATTTAAGACAGAACGTTTTGTTCTGTTTTTAAATTTCCAAGCTAGAAACTTTTCTTTTTCTAGTCATGCTCTTGATTTCAAATTTTATCACAACACAGTCCTAGGAGGTTGGATCTCCCTAGCCTCTCGGTTTCCTGTGGTTTCTGGGTAGTGGCGTTGTCCTCTCCCACACAGATGTCATCTGCACCAACAGCAGTGAGGTACAAACTCAAACCTAACTTCAACCAGGAGCTTCTGTGTTTACAACTGCCAGGTGGCCCCTTGGACACAAATTCCAACTTTCCCAGAAAGTCTTTACCTTTTAGTAGGGAAATTTAGCCCATTTACACTTTGATATGAATTTATTTCTACTGTACTAGGCTCTTGCATTTTATCTTTTATAGCTTTACAAACAGAGCATCCTTTTGTACTGGTTGCTTTTATAACAAATATTTCACCCTCTTCGAGGTTTATTTTTATATAGTCTGTGTCTAACTCCACAAGTCTACTGGGCTGGGCCAGAGATGCCCATATGAACCCCATGTGTGGGTGTCTGTTAGGTTCCGAAGGGGTGGATCAACATTAGAATCAGGGGATTCAGGGTACTTCCCTCCCCAGTGTAGGCAGCAGCCAGCCTGCTAGGGATGAACAGAACAAAGATTGTGGGTGGAGGGATTCTTCCTTCTTCACTGCTTACACTGGAACAACTCATAGCTCACCTTCTCCCTCCTTGGGCTGGGATTCCCACCATCAGCTTCCCTGCTGTCAGCCTCCAGCAGAACTTTACCACTGGCTCTTCTAGGTCTCGAACTGGCAGATACAGACTGTGGGGATCCAGGCCCCCGCAATTACATGATCATCCCTGCAGTGGGACCCCTGGCCTCCACGATCACGTGAGCCCATCCCTTATGATCCATCTCTCTAGACAGACAGATCCTATTGGTTCATGATCCTGTGGAGAAGCCCAATACACAGTTACACACTCTTACTACTTGATGCTACCTCAGTAGGGTATACTTTCATCTTTAGCTACTGATGATGAGAAACTCATTGGTTTTGTCCCTTCATCCTCTATCTCAATACTTTTTATTAAATATACAAATCAACCAGCACCCACCATATTTACATTGTTAGTGTTTTCTATCTTCCACCTTCACTTAGTTTTCCGATTAAGTAGGCAATGTTCTTGCAATTGGCTCTTTTAGGGTTTTGCAATCACCCCTTTGACATGTGCTCCTCTCATCCACCTTCCTTCTTACTCCTGTCCCCTCCACTACCTGAGGACACCCTAGTCCCAGATGCACCTTCTCCTCTGTCTGGGTACCACATCCTACTCCAGCTTCGGAATCAGCAGGATTGCTAACCTCCATTTATTGGCAAAGCATATGGATAAAATTTCATTTTCTTGAGGTCAATTTCTTTTTCCATGAGCTTTTCTATCCTGTTTTTTCTATTTCTCTCCTTTCATCTCATGATCTTCATTGTTCATCACTGAAAGTGACTTTTACCAGATCCAGCTTTGCATCTGAAGCTGCACTGAGGATGGATAGGGCTGATTTCTTTCCTCTAACCCAAACTAGTGGCTCTGAGGCAAGTTCAATCAGAGTCACTAATTTCTCTGGGCAAGAAGTTCTCTCCTCATTGTGACAGCTTCCCTTCCTCCTTCAAGCACAGGAATGCATGGGCTCCCTCACACAGCCCTCTGCATGCCCTTACCTCAAAGCTGCAAACTGGGGGCTCAGGACCACAACTCATGAAGCCTCCTCCCTTTTAAGGTGGGTTTCACGAGGCTGGCTCCTTCTTGGAGCTCTATGCTGTGACTCTGCAGACTGCGTACTACATACTCCTCCTCTGCTGCAGGCCTTTTGCCTCCTGCTTGGGGCTTAGGTTTAGCTCTATTTCAGTTTGTCAAAACAAAAGTTTGCCATTTTGTTTTTCATTCTTCTTGGTATTTCTGGATGATTTCTAGGAAATGGGAAATGCTTATCTCTGCAACAATATTCAAAGCAAGCACCAAACCCTTTTTATCTGTAACCTTAGACTCAAGAGGAACAAACTCTCAACTTTTTTCTCATGAGGTCAGTCCTTTCCTCTAAGCCGTGAAGATGTTTTTCCCTGCCCTAAAAGGCAGCCACCTGCCATGCCACCAAACCAGTCACGTGGAACTGACCCTGCCAATCTGCCGTCACTTTGCTTTGCTAGGCAGAGCTGGCTCACACCTTGTCCCCAGTCCCACAGTGCAGCATGGTAGGCATTGCCACACATCTGTGGGTTAATACTCCCTCTACAGCCACCTCCTACCCAGCTTCTGGGTGCCTGGGGATGCCACTGTTAATGGGAGTCAGGCACTGAGAGGCTTCTCATAGGCAGAGGATGCACACAGGGGGCTAAGACTGCATAAGACCCAGGATTTGTTTACCTGCCGATCACTCAATTTAAGACATGACTTAAACATATCAATTTTTAAAGGGAAGAAAGCCCAGGCAGGCTGCTGGAGATGAGACCTGAGTAAGACTGCTAGATGATCTGCCAAACAGTTCTCAGCACTAATCACAGGTCCTGGGTCACAGGAATCTGCTGGCCACAGGCATGGCCACTCCAAGGAAGCCCCAAGCCAGACCCATGGCACATCTCCCCTTGTCCCTTTCTCACTGAGATTCAGCAAAAGCTGAAGGACGTTTCCCAAGGGGAGTGGGGAAGGAAATCACCTAATAGCCACCACCTGACATGTGGGCTGGGCACCCATTCCTGGGCATGGAGTATATACACAGTCCTGTGTTCATTCATGGGCAGATAGAGTCGCCATTCATCACCTGCAAGAGGGCATAAACCCACCTGTGCCCCAGGTGTCAACTTGGGGTGGGCAGATCTGGCCTACAGTCCCCAGTCCAGTGTGAGTGAGGCTGGACAGCCCCAGGGGACCTATCCTCACTGTGTGCAGGCCAGCCTGGCCCAGCCACTGTGACAGAAGGAGGAGCATCCATTATCAGCTACCTTCCAGCCAACGTAAGCTAATCCATGCTGCTATTAGTGTGCCCAGTAAGAAGGGAAGAGAAAATTGGAAATGCATTAATATTGCTGCCTGCAACTACCTATTTCATACTTCACTGAGAAAACCCAGTGTTTAGAGTCAGCCTAAAACAAAGAGAACACAAGGACTAATTGGATTGTGTCTTCTGAGAGACCCTGCCAACTACTGCAAAGCCACAAAGCCCTTCTGAAACTCACCTCCCCACAAAAAGGGCTCCAAAGAAAATTACTTTCTCAGGGCTTGTCTGCAACTCAGCACAGTAGGCCCTATACACCTGCCCACTAGGTAAGCATGGACAAGGTGCCCCAGGGGCTGTGCACAATGGGTGGGCTTTACTGCCTGCTATCACCAAAGAGCGATTTTCAACCTTACTCTGAATATCTCCTATTCTGTTCAAATTTAATCTCCTAGAGAGAGAGTTCGCATCATCCAGTTCCAATCTCTGAGGCTAATATACAAATTGATATTCTTTCTCTGGCTCACTCTCCTAGATTAAGAGGCATAATTACCAGCAGTGCCTGCTCCAAACGAATCAAGCACACAGGGAAAAGGGCTGGCAGCCACGGTCCTAGGGGAGCCTGGAGGCCTGGCAGCAGCGTGTCCCTCAGAGGGCTGTGCTTGTGCACATGGAGAGGGGAATCAGTTTCTGTGGCTGCTGAAGGCTGAGACTTGGGAAGAGGTATCTGCCCCAGGTCAGTGGTCTGCAGGAGAAAAGACAGAGGTGACTATGACTGGAGAACCAGAGCTGGCAGCTATGCCTCCCCCAACAGGGCCCCTCCCTGCAGGCCACATAGGCATTGTGGGGATCACTCAAAGGCCTGGCTACAGGGTATGAGAAGAACACACCTGTCCCCAAGGAGGGGCCCGGTAAATTTAGCTGGGCTGGGCCCTGAGGGTGAAACAGCGAAGGGTCCCAAAGACCCAACCCCACCACTTACCTGAGGAGGACAGAGGCATGTCACGTACACCAGAAAGTGAACCAGCTACCAGAACACCCAGAGAGGACCATGCCGCTGCTTCCAGGATGAGCTGGAACCCGCAGGAGGACAACTTATTTTTAACATGTTTCTCCTCTCTCTTCACTTTGCACTATGTACGTGTGTTGTTTACTCAAACAGTAAGTGAACATTTTGAAAACTGCATTTACAGGAAGAATCAGGGCAGAACCTAATAAAGGACAGGACACCACCAATCCTTTCCTTTCAACCATCTGTGGACTGGCAGTGATGCACCGATTCAACACCAGCACAGCAGCCCCGCACCTCCCTGCTGATACCACATGGTGTGGCCCTCGATACGAGGGTCTGAGACAGTGAACTCCTGGGAGCTGACACCACCTCTCCACCCACACTGGCCCTGGCTGGCACAGGGCAGATGCCAGCTAGGTGTGGACACTGGTGACCTCGCTGTTCTGCTCTGGCATCCCCAGAGGGATAAGGGCTCACCTCTTCTGTGGATCTCAACTTCTTCCTAGGGCTTGTGACCACACCACGGATAGGGCCACCAGTAAATAGGGCCTGTCTCCCCTGGGCAGCTCCCACCTTCAACCACAGGATGAAACAAGGCACCATCCATGTCTGGTGAGCAAGGGTGGGGCTTCATCTGCAGGCCTCAGGGTCCCTGCCATGCACTATGCAGCAGCCACGGCAGCACTGAATGAACACAAAATTGTTCACAGGAAATGGCAAGCACTGATCTAGGCTGTGGGTCAAATCCTGTTTATGCCTGACCCCAGAGGAATCAAGACAGAACAGAGAAGGAAATAGCAGTACAGACAAAGGCCAAAATGCTGCATGGCAGAGCCTATGAGAACCGCTGGATCAGCTGCCAGGCCTGCTTCCTGTCGCCGCAGCCCTCCTTCCCAACCCCACATCTCACAGAAAGACACCAGGCCAGAGGGAGGGGGCTCCCACTAGCCCAGAGGGGGCAGTACCCACACCAATCCCTCGTTGCCCTCTCCCTGTGATCCCTCAGCTGTCCACAGCCTTTAGCCTTCCACCAAGAAATGGCGCAAGAGGCACTCCCACTCAAGGTACCACCACCTTCCTCAGGCTGTGGAGACATGGGGTCTCCTCTGTGCCTCAAGCAGCCTGGGAAGGGCATGAGAAGGCAACCAAAGGATTTCAAAGGCAGGGGAAATACCCCCTCCCCACCTGCCAGCTAGTGGCCCCAGCCCCAAGGCACCACCCAGTGGCCCTGTACTCAGTGGGCTCTAGGCTCCTATAGCACCCTCCGGACCCTACCCAGCCTGGCTGCAGGTCTTCCACAGGGTCCTCCACAACAAGCTTCTTGCTGAAGAGTGGAGTTAAAAACAGCCAGGACCAGGGCTCTGTAGGAGGTGGCAGTCCTTCACTCTCAGGGACACCTTTCAGTTGTCAACAGTGAGGGGCACTGGTGTCACTTCTTCATGGGAATGTGACATCCGCAATGCGCTGGACATGCCCGCAGAGGAAGACCTGTCTCACCCTCTGCACAGCTCCCGAGTGTCCTGCCAATGCTCACGCTGGTGCCAACGCTATTTCTAATTATTTGCACTGAGCTCCAGAAATTAGTGCTGTTGATAAAAGCACAAAGTATGTTTGGTAAGCACAACACATTCTCTGGAGTGGCATCTGTGGTGCCACTGAGGAAAGACCCTGTATTCCCAGAACGCAGCCAACACTGCTCATTGCTGCAAAGACCCACATCGCAGGAGCAGCCAGGACAGTGAGCCCACAGGACACAGAATCCTGTCACTGCAGTGCTCGTGTCCTCCTGCCTACAGGTTTACATCCTGAACGTGTAGCCCGTGCCTACAAATCACTGTCCTTCTGCTCCTGTCACCTCACACTTAGCTCATTACTGCAACTTGCTGTTTCTAAAACTGCAAGCACAGGTAAGCAAGGAAGAGGACACTGCAGCTTGTGTGCTGTTAAGGAGGATGTGGGAACAACAGGGCTGAGACCACCTGGCAGGCCAGACCACATGCAGGGAGTGAAGTCATCAAGGCAAACAAAACAAAAAACACAAGTCTGAGACTTTCTTGCTTGAAGTGAATTTCAGGAGCAAAACCTACAGTGTCCCCAGAGGCTGAGCCACAAACAGTCCCTTCTTCTCTGGCTATAAACCCACAGCCATTTAGAGGTCCTCCTGTCCACCTGAGGTCTCCAAGTTGGTCCAGCCACCAACCTCTGCCAGGACCTGAGCCTCGAGAGGGGACTGGGCTGCTCAGGAGGCAGAGCCACCCAGGATGATTACCCCAAGTGCCAGGGCCACGGTGGAGGAGCGGTGAGAAGGGGCAAGGAGCAAGGGACAGACTGAGGAGGGAGATTTCCAGAAAGTAAAAAGGCACCATGGGGATGGAGGAGCATGGGTCTAGCAGGGAAATATCAACACCCTGGAAATGCAGAAAATCTGGGTGTCCAAGGAAGAGTACACCAGGAGGCAAGGTGGAGAGAGGGGGACTTCTCCCGACAAGCACTAAGACACTGACCTCTGCTGACAGCAAATAAAGCCCATGAGCCACAGGAGATGAAGTGACCCTGCACCTCACCACTACCACAGACATCTCAGGAATGGGTGAGGGAGAATCTGAAGGGCAAGGCTATAGGAACGGGGTGGGGACAAGAGGATGGGGCAGAGGATGAGGCCAGAAGGCTTAGGGGCCCATCACAGGCCAGACAGGTCCTCTAGAAGATCCTCCCCTTCTTTAGGCCCACAGTGTCCAGGATGAGTAAAATATTTATAGACATTAGAAACTACATCAGCAAATCAGAGACTGTCGCACAATGTGGACACCAGCCTCAATCAAGTGTCCCCCACCTCCCAACAGGTAGACAAAACCTATATATTACATCTCCAAAGACCATAGATAGGACTCACTTCCCAAGACTTCCGAGGACAAATTTGCAGTTCCTTCTTGGAAGGAAAATGGGAGGGCCAGCCCATGACACAGTCTGGCCCATAAGACCCCAGGCCAGACAGGAGACCACACTTGTGGGGCAACAACAGGAAAGGGAGGAGCTCCTTTGGCCAGGCCTGATAGACAAGAGCCCAACTGTGACTGCTTGGTCAACAGAGGCCTTGCGGCCCTAGCTCCAAGAAGTGCTCAGTCAAAAGTAACCTGGACTGGTTTTTCCAACCCTCCAGATGCATATAGGTCCTAAACTTGAAAACAAGAGTACAATCCTCTGGGCTTGCTGAAGACCTCTGCTGTGCTCAAAGTGGGCCAGGAACACAAGGAAAGCAAGCCCAAGCAGGCCTTCCTAAAGGGCTTTGCTCCTTCAGCAGATAATGTTCCGGACAAGCTGGCTGCCAATCTGCCTCTGTAATACAGTCTCCTGTCCAACCCTGTGCCCACAACTGGTATGCAGATGGAGTGAATGTCTGGGCTGAAGGTGGCTTTACCCACGGCCCAGTGATCATCATCTCCTCAACACAACCCTGGCACCAGGACAGCATCGCTACCCATCGTCCCAGCCTTCTCTAAACCCTCCCTTCCATGACCACACAAAATAGGCCAGGTGAGCTCATCCATGCCCAAGCCACCAACTTGTTCCCCAGATGCAGTGCAGCCTATGTTGAGAAGCTGTGTCCAGGATCACAAGGTGGCAGAGGCACAGAGCTGCACCAGGAGGGAGTGGGAAGGACATAGCTGGGGGAGGGAGCAGGTTCTAAAGAAAGAAATTCCATGGATCACTTTAATGGCAAGTTAGATGTTATTAAAGAACAACTACAAAACCCAGGCAACCTGAGGACATGGCAGTACAAACTATTGAAAATAGAAGAGAGAGACAAATCATTCCTAAAATGAGAACAAAAGTGAGCTGGGGCTCAAGTTCAGATCTCCAGATGGGTTACCCAGAGGCCTTTCCAAATGACAACTACAACACACCCTCATGTTTAAGAAACCCCAAAAGGCCCAAGCACAATAAACACGAGGAAAAATACATGCCACATTTAATCAAATCAAAATCAGTGATAAACAATCTTAAAAGCTGTCATAGAAAGACTTGTTTCATAAGAAGTTTAGCAACAAAGGATAGCAGTGGATTTACTGTTGAAAAAATGCCAGTAAAGAGTCAGTGGAACAACAGCTTTTTAGTTTTGAAAGGAAATCTATGACTCAAGGAGTAAAAGACTGAACTTTTGAGCTGGGCATGGTGGCACACACCTATAATCTCAGAACTCGGGAGGCTGAGGCAGGAGGATCGCTGTGAGTTGGAGACCAGCCTGAGCTACATAGTGAGTTCCAGGTGAGTCTCAACTTCACAGTGAGATCCTGTCTCAAGAAAAAAAAAAAAAAAAAAAAAAAAAAAAATTTAATAAAAAAAAAAAAAAAAAAAAAAAAAAAAAGAATGAACTTTTAGCAAGACTAATAAAGGAAAAAAGGAAGAAAATCAAGTTACTAAAATAAAAAATGAAAGGAGCATTATAGAATACAGGAGCAACTGTATACTGTACCAACCAACAAGAAAAACCTAGAAAAGTGGACAAGTTCCTAGGAACCCGCAAGACACCAGCAATCGAGATCCAGCAGCTTACTGAGAGGACCCTACATCATGACTGGTAGAATTGATACCAGGCACACAAGCGACATCTGGCATAGGAAAATCAACTGACGTAATACACACTAACAGGGTGAATGAAGGAAAAAACCCACAGCATCATCACAGTTGGGCAGAAAAAGCATTTGACAAAATCCAATTCTCTTTCAGCACAA